TGAGGTTCTAGATTGTGTTCTAGACTAGAAAAAGGACACAATGGGACAGATGGTGAAATCCTATTAGCATTTCTAATAGGTCTCTGCATTCACTAATAGCTAAGTGTACAATGTTGTATAGTATGTTAATATTAGGAGAAGCTAGCAGAAGGGATATGGGACTCTACTATTTTTGAAACTTTTCTGTCAGTCTAAAATTATTTTCCAGAAAAAGTGTCTTATATATTTCATTAAATCCCCCTCCTAGCATAGCACCTTAATAATATATCCAGTATTATAGAGAAATCTGGGGAGGCAGTGAGTTTAGATCTTGGATTACAGAATCAAAGTTCAGACTTTAAGAAGACCCTTGGAAAAGTATCCCCAGACATCCACATCACATTTAGATGAAAAAAGTAAGGTGCAGAGAGGCTGGTTACTAAAGTCACCACTGTCTTGGGCAAACTGGATCTGGAACACATCTTGTATCTCTTCATTCATTTTTACCTCTCTTTGTGACACTGTTGGACTCAAGTCCAAGAATGTCTTCAGTTGACTTAATTTATTCAGTTTAATCTAAATTTATAAGGACTTTTTACAAGAAATGTATATTATAATTTATAATGTATTTATAATGAAATTATTAAAATCTTGGGTAGCAGTTTGAGAAATGTAAATAAACTCTGACTATAAGATTTGAACGTAGTTCAACTAAACTTCACATCAGTTCGAGAAGGTCAAGGTTTGATTAAAACACATTATTCTCTTTGGTTAAAGCCACCCTTTTATATCTTCTCATGTGTAGCTTCTCTCTTGCTGGGTTGTTTGTGTACACACACACACACAGCACTTATTAAGACAGAAAAGAAGTCATTTTATTATGGTTGGTATAATTGTCTGAGATGGCTTCATGATATCGTCATGGTCTATTAGAGACCTAAACAAGACAAGGATCTCCTTGGTATTCAGGCCTTCAGCCCACGTTTTCCTCTGGTTTTTATTGCCTGTATGATTTCTGTTCCTCAACAAAACCAGCACTTCCCTTCCTCCACCCTCCAATGTCTGGACTACGCAGTTAGCAGACGGCCTTGTTATACAATCACGTTCAGCAGGATTAGACTAGATCATTGAATTTTAGGAATTCCTGACTGTCACAGCTGTTTCTTCTCTGAAATGCTTTCACTCAGTTAATGTGTACAAGATAGTCCTCTGATCAACCCTAGTTTTCCAGTGAGCACCAGCACAGAAACCTGAACACATCTCTTCTTTTGATTAGGAAAAAGAATTTTGGTGCCAGCAATGAAAATACTTATGACTCTTATTTATGTGTGCATACCAATGACAATATTTATCATAAAAAGTCTTAAGCCCTGGCCAGTTTGGCTCAGCGGTTAGAGCATTGGCCTGCGGTCTGGAGAGACCTGGGTTCGGTTCCCGCTAGGGGCGCGTACCTCAGTTGCAGTTTGTCCCCATCCCTGGTTGGGTCGTGCGGGTGGCAACCACTTGATGTGTCCCTTTCACATCGATGTTTCTCTCTCTCTCTCTCTCCCTCCTACTCTATCTGAACAAAATGTCAAAAAATGTCCTCGGGTGAGGATTAAAAAAAAAAAAAGTCTTAAAAAATACTGAGTGGTTAAGCTAGATGTTAGGAAAATTATTCCAAATATTGTTTCTGTAACGAAATCTCTATATTTCTACAGCTAAATCTCCCATGTCTGTCCATTATACCATACTTTTCTCAGGACACTGGATCAACATCTTTAGCATCCCCCCTTCAGCCCACCCCACCGCCTCTGTCTTCCATCACAGCCAGTCACCACCACATCTTGTCTATTTTCCATTTACATGATTTTTTCAGTTCCTTCCTTTCAATTGCCATTGTCATCATCCTAATTTGGCCCTTTTATATTAAATTAAATACCCCTAAATGGCTAAGGGGCTGAGAGGAAAGAGCATTTTCCATTCCTGGTACCCAGTTAAGTCACAGTAGTGAGAAATGGGAGAAGCCCCTTATGCCTCATCTCCCACTTAGGATGGGTGAGTGGTGGAATTCTACCATAGCTGGGCAGCAACCTCCTGAGGTTAGGGAAGCCTGTAGAGAGGGTACGGCCACAGGAATATTGTGAGTGGATCTCAACCCAGCAGGGTTTCCATAGCTATGTTCTCACTCTCATAGTCCTCTGTGTCTGGGGCAGGGAAAGTAAATGTCATACTATAAATTATGCTTGGGGACTATAGAAATTGAAGAAGCAAAATAAAACTAATATAAATTAGTGTGCTTAGGAAAAAAAATGCCTCAAGCTATAGAGTTTGTTTTAAAATTCATTTGAAAAGCCGTCATTTATTAAATTATATTCTATATAATCTCATTTTCACATAACTACAGCATTTCATTATATAAACAATTTAATTTCATCTTTATATCAACATATTATTATCTTATTTTACAGATGAGGAAATTGAAGTTCAGAGAGGTTAAGAAATGGTCTCACTCATATACAGCTCTGAAACAGTGGAGTCAAGTTTTAAACCTAGGCTGTCCATCTCCAGCATCCTAGAATGTAGGCTGTCAAATATTAAGTGGTCTATTATATCTGTTAAGTAGCTTCGATTCTGCTCATGTTCATCAGATTGATAGCCTTTCCTATTGTAAGCCATTTCAGAACATTTTGTAAAAAACCTTTCCCAAGCTAGAAAGTATAAACATACAACCCACTGCAGTAGGTATTATTGGCCCCATAAAACCAGAAAAGAAAATAGAAGCTCAGAGAAATCAATTAACTTGTCCACTGCCAAACAGCTCATCTGTAAGGGATGGGGATCCGGACCCAGACAGTCTGATTTCCCTTCCCTTGCTCACAGCCGCTCTGCTAAGTGAAACTAAGTCTGAATCTAGAAGTGAGTACAAGATTAAGGGTTTCCGCCTTTGTGGAAATGGAGGTTTGAGAGCTAAATAGAATTCATTTATAGAAAAATGAGAAAAGTTACATGTCTGATTCCTGAGTTATGCCTGCCAATTTCAAATCTGCTCTGCTAGTTAACAGAATCGAGTTGCCTGCCTGCAGGGCAGTTTTCCTCCCGCTAGATAGGTCCCTGGGGACTTGGTGTCAACATGAAAAGGCTTTTGGAGTGGCATTCTTTTTTGCAAGAAGATGAGGATCAGGAAAAATGTTATAGGGATCATAAATTACAAAACACCTGTATTCCCATTTAAGAGGCAGAATTGGGACCAGAACCAGCTCTACTAATTAAGGGGAACTCTGAAAGCCTCAAGACTATTATGAAGGATAGAAATTCAACTTAGTGACATTTGGTCCTGCCTTAGTGAAGAACATTTACTTGACAGACAGATACACTGCATTTACATCATCAGTCACTATAAATGGAATCAGCCTCAGTAGATAAAGGTGTTGACTAGCAAATGGCCTCAAATGACCGTTTTCTGATTGTTAAAAAGGTGGGAAAGACATAATTAATAGATAGCTTCTCTGTTCCCCATCCTACACCTTTTTCTCACCCTTCCCCGTCTGAAGAAAATGTTCCTTGAGAGAAAGTTGTTTCATATTTCTCTCCTTCCTGGCCCTTTTTTAGGAGACTTCAAAGGAAGTCAGTGGACTAGCTCTTTAGTGGATACTCCCTTTATTTCCTTCACCTTGTGTAAGGTACAGCATAATAAATAGCAATAACTTTCTAAATTAACCGTTTGTCTGAAACTGCAACCCAGGAATTGAATTTCATTAATCACCTTGACATACTTTGGGAAGAAATCATATAGTGGATCTAATTTTTGGATTATTTAAAGTAGAATATATTATGTGTCAGACCCTCCCCCCTCAAATAACAAAAACTAACCATCACTGATTAGACTAATACAGAATAACCTACAAAAATAAAATGTTAACAAGATGTTCTTGAAATTGCTGCAGATAGGATGCATCTATATACAAATTTGTATACAATGCAATACTAACCCATTCTGAGCCCACTGTAAAGTCTATGCTAGCATCATGAAATATTTCTGGCAAATTTATAAGAACATGCAGCAGGATCCTTTTTGCCTGATCCCAGAGGGGAAGAGAAAGCTGAGTCAGCTGATTGGAACGCTGCCCCAAATCAGAAAAAGCTCTACTACATATGGAAAATACTCAATTAGGGGAGGGGTTGTGGAAAGAGACAAGGCTTTAATAAGTCGTTGAAGCTGTCAGTTAAATATTAATGATTTCTAAGTATTTATTGAAACCATCTTAACATAACCAACATAAAAGCGAAAATTGAACCATAAAACCAAGAAGTCTAATGTTCTCTGCTAAAAACCCTGATTATTGAAACAATTTTTTAAGACCAATCCATCTTTTCATATGGCATGCACAAAACATGAATGAGAGCTGTATGCTTTATGAGTTTCCATGAGTCTTAAGTATGAATTAGATAACCAAAGATAGTTTATAATATAATAATGTATGTCAACTAGAATTTTAAAAAGACAGTTTATGATTTCTATTATGAACCAATTCTTTTTGCTTCACTTTAAAATATTCAGTCTATCTTTGGAAAGCCCAAACTATTGGCTAGAAAATATTTATGCTCTTAAAATGTGAGCTTTATGACAGAAATGTTGAGGTTCTTAAGTTAATTAATAGGAGCTATGAGATCAAAAGGGAATTATAGGGTTAAAATAAATTGCTCTAGAAAGGTATCCAAGCAAGCTTTCTTTGTCAATGGAGACCAAATTACTGAGGGGTTTCAAAGAAAAACTTTTGTTGCAAAGTCGACAAGTTTTATGTCCAATGCTGTTTTTGAAAAGCCATCTTGCTTTTCTTGACAGGAAAGGGAGTGTTTGTTTTGTCTGCCTTCAAATTCTGGTGCAAGCCACTCTGGAATCCTGCACAAGAACCTGGGCTGCGGGTAGGGGTGAGCTTGGCCTTTGCCTGTCTGAGAGTTGCTAATGCGTGATGCATTTCCCAGAGACTGGGCTCTTTATAGGAGGTAAACTCTCCCAAGGGAAAGAAAGAAAACCTTACCTGGGTAATCATTCTTGTCTATGTCCGAGTCTCCTCTTAAAGTGTAGCCGAAGCCAGAAGGTATAGCCTGTGATGCCCACACTCCTTGCAAAACTTGGGAAGCCTGGGTGTTTAAGCCACGCTTGTTCCCGTTGTAAATGAACACTTTGCCTCTTTGATCCTGGCCTGCAAAGGGCGCACCAATGGCAACATCTACAAACAAAGACACAGGAACGTATTTTAATGTATTTTTTAAATAAAGAAGAATGTTTTAAAATAAAATTAAGTACAAAGAGTGGCACCATACAGTCCACAGGGTTTATTAGTTTCCCATGAAAATTTGTAGTACTGTAGCAAGAGTAAATTATTTGTTGTCTTCTCTTCATTCGACATAAAGATACAATACAGTAAAACCTCAATAAATAGGACTAATTTGGGTGAGGGGGTGTCCATTAAAGCCAAAAGTCTGTTATATAATAAAGTAGGTTTTCTGAATGTATATGTTTAAAAAATTGACAAATTACTTCACCTGTTTTTACTTATGCAGACATGTTTGTGTAATTAAAATTAAGTATGTATGAAAAGTTCAATTTCACAGAAAAGTTTTCTGTATGTATTACTGTAATTTTAAATTCATAGTGAATAGGTCTAGTAAATGCATACATTCACCAGTCACCAACAGTAAACAAATGCACAGGGCTGGGGTGTGGCTGAGCGCACGGGGAACACCAGCCAGCATGCATTAGAACTGTTGCAGAAAATCACGCCACAGGATAACAGAGCCAATTGCTGTGCGTGATGCAGTGTGATCACATGTTAATCATTCACCGAACATTGTTTATGAGTGGTGACACTTGAATTCAAATATGTAGACTATAGTTATAGATATGTAATATTTATTTATGTCAGTGAAATTACCACCGTGTGTTTTCCAACATTTGGCCTATTTACTAAAATATGTTAAAAATAACAGTAAATAAATAACAAAAAATAATTTAATTACAAGCAAATCTTGGTTAAAAGCATTTTAAAATTAACAGGGTGTTAATTTTCACTTATGACATTCGAAATGGAAATTTTGTCCATTAAATCCAAGTCTGTTAGATCAAGGTCCACAAAATTGAGGGTTTACTGTACCAGATACTTAATACTAATACCTGCCAAAGTTACTAATCAATACTGATCTGATGTAAATACCCCCCCAGGCTATTTTGTTAGAGTAAATTCCTACCCATTCCTTAAACTTCAATCAAGAAACCCACTATATGTTGGTTCTTAACTCAAGACCCTGAAAATATATGCAAGATTTTGTGTGAGCTTGCATGTTTTTCTGAGGAGAGGGTACTTATAAGGCATTCATAAATTCCTAGCTTAAAGAACCACAACCCTAAACTAAGAATTTAAGTCTACTTTATTGCAAACATTGAAGTTGACTTCCAGCTGAAGTTTACAGACCAAACACCTGCAATAATGTCAACATTAAAATTTTTTAATAAATTTATAATTTAATAATTATTTAAAAATTTTTAAATTTCAGCCTCACCTATACATAAGCCATGTAGGTTCATCAGAAGGCCATATACTTGCTAATATATGGACATAATTTATTTATCTTGACTTAGTCATATAGAAGATTCTCTAGTTTTCTTCGTGTCACTAAATCCAAATATCAACTTTTAAAGCTTTATTTGTATTGTTGACACTATTACAGATGCCCCCATCCCCCCCCTTTCCCCACCTCCACCCAGCCCCTGCCCTCCTCACTCTTGTCTGTGTCTATGGGTTATGCATATATGTTCTTTAGCTAATCTCTTTAAAAATAATCACTGACTTTATTTCGAGCTGTTATATGACACCCTAAATCAACATGAGATTTCTGTGCAACACCTATATTAATCGAAACATATAAATTTTAAGCTGCCTTGAGATTTTTGATAGCTCATTAAAAATCAACTGCCCTGGCCAGTTTGGCTCAGCGGTTAGAGCGTCGGCCTGCGGTCCGGAGAGACCCGGGTTCGGTTCCCGCTAAGGGCACGTACTTCGGTTGCAGTTTGTCCCCGGCCCTGGTTGGTCGTGCGGGTGGCAGCCACTCGATGTGTCCCTTCACGTCGATGTTTCTCTCTCTCTCTCCCTCCCACTCTATCTGTACAAAAAATGGAAAAATATCCTCGGGTGAGGATTAAAAAAAAAATCAACTGCCCTGGCCGGTTTGGCTCAGCGGTTAGAGCGTCGGCCTGCGGTCCGAAGAGACCCGGGTTCAGTTCCCGCTAAGGGCACGTACTTCGGTTGCAGTTTGTCCCCGGCCCTGGTTGGTCATGCGGGTGGCAGCCACTCGATGTGTCCCTTTCACATCGATGTTTCTCTCTCTCTCTTCCCTCTCTCTCCCTCCCACTCTATCTGTACAAAAATTGGAAAAATGTCCTCGGGTGAGGATAAAAAAAAAAAATCAACTGTATCACACATACCATTGCAAATACTTCAAAATGTCCATGGCAACAGTAACATTGAATTATGACACAAACAATTTCCACCTTGGTGTAAATTACCATTGTATCCATCTTGATTCAGGTCTCCTAAATGGGCCACAGCACTACCAAATCTCCCGAAAACCTCAGTGCCTGCGAGCACCTGCGGGTCTCCAAACAGGAGAGCGCTCACTTGCATATACAGGTAAACTTGACCCACTTCTCTAGGGTTACTCTCAAATTCACGTTCCATAAAGAGAGGGGCACCAATCAGTATGTCATCCATCCTGTAGGGAACAAAGACAGGGGTCAGCACACTGGCAGACAGATTCTTTTTGGTACATTTTAAATTAACTGGATTAGCACATTTCCTCTGGTACTTTTCCTTTTGCAAGGGACATTTTATAATCATCATCTTTCTTTCATTGATTTGTTATGTCTACAGAGTAGAATGCTGCAAGAAAATAAGAGTTGTTACGTGATCCCATCAAACTTTTTAACGATGTTAAAAGTGACTGCTTTAAGAAAACCACAGATAATTCACCCTTTTCAGCTTTGAGTGCATTTCCGGAAGCTCTAGATACACAAGTAAAACATATCAGAAGAACCTAAATAGATTTTTCTAAAAATAATTTCAGATTTCCATAATATATATGCCCATATGTTTAAATTATGAAATCTAGTTGCAGTAATAAGGTTTAAAGTAAATTTGTCCTGCTGTTTCCTGTTGTTACCTTCATTTAAATAAAAGAGACCAGAGAGGGTAATATAGTACTGGTTACAAAGATAAAAAATAAAATTTCATCCCAAAAGAGAATTTACCGTTATTTTTTGTAAATGTAGATATTATAGCAAGAAACTAATAGATAATTTTTAAGGTTGAAAAAAATTCAAGGAACAGACACCTAACCAACTTATTTAGAGAGAAAGACATAACCACCAAGAGAATAAAAAGCAAAAGTGGTTAAAGGTATTTCCTTCACAGAGCCAGATGGCAAACAAAGGAATAAAACAGAGCCTTCTAAGCTATTTAGGCTTTTAAAAACATATACATGTATTATTTTATATTTAAAAATTTTAAAGAAAAGTCACATCAACCAAAATTTGTAATGTGAGCTATACTAATGACTTCTACTGAAATTTGTCTTAAGACACCCCTGTCCTGGAACTCGAAATAATGTGAAAAATGACTTCAGATAGAAATACAAATCTGCATTTGACTATTATGTCTATGTAGATTAGGTAATGTGTGGAAATGTGCCAAGTAAACTAATCACTACAATATTAGCATTACTCTAAGAGGCAGGGATGAGGTGGGAACAGTCACTGAGAGCCATCTGCAAGACAGGCCCCCATCATTCTGACCACCCTTCTCTCCAGCTTCTTGCCTTCCTTGTGGAGTTCATCCACTGTCTGTTTCTCAGTATGATTCAGTAGACATCCTGTGTACTAGCTGTAGTTAAGATACTGTGATAAATGATTTAAAGAATACAATGACTATTAGGTCAACCCTGTTCCTAATTAACTTACAAGTGAGGTCAAATTGCCACTTATATAACTATAAACAGGGCAGAGCAAGAAAAAGTATGAGTGAGCCACACTAAATGCTGGGGTTTCTGGACAGCAAGAGAGCTGGTACTTGGAGGGTTTGTTAAGGAAGATCCAAGGAGGAGATGGCAATGAACCTGGGTGGGACTCTGATAGGTAGATCCAGAGGCAGACTTTCCAGGTGGTGGTGTGAGCCAAGACAGGTGTCCCTGAATAAAGTCAGGGAACAGTGAGTGGTCCAAGAGAGCTTCATATTACTAATATTATTATTAATAATTAGAGGGATGCCTATGATTTTAATTGGAACAGTAAAATATGCAAAGTGATTAAAATTTAATAATATAAAATAACAATAATATATAATATTGTTATATATTATCTAAATAACAGTATATATTATTGTCATATAAAATCAGTATTATATGAATATAATATATAATGTAAACAATAAGAACACAACTCATTAAAAGTTGGACAAAAGAGCTAAATAGACACATCATCAAAGATGATATACAGATGGCAAATAAGCATTTGAAAAGATGTTCAATATCAGATGTCAATAGAGAATTGGAAATTAAAACATGATACCACTATACACCTATTAGAATGGCCAACATCCAAAACACAACACCAAATGCTGACACAGATGTGGAGCAACAGAAACTGTCTTTCATTACTGGTGAGGATGCAAAATGGTACAGCCAGCCACTCTGGAAGACAGTTGGGCAGTTTCTCACAAAATGAAGCTCTCATACCACATGATACAGCAATTGCACTCCTTAACATTTACCAAATGAATTGAAAACTTATGTCTACACTGTTATGCCTGCACATAACAGTTTATAGTAGTTTTATTCATAATTGCAAAAACATGGAAGCAGCCAAGAGGTCTTTCAGTAGGTCAGTGGATAAACAAATTGTGGTACATCCAGGCAAATGCTGATGAGGATGTGGAGCAACAGGAACTCTCATTCATTGCTGGTTGAAATGCAGAATGGTACAACCACTTTGGAAGATATTCTGGTGTTTTCTTACAGAGCTAAACATAGGCTTACCATATGATCCCACAGTCATGCTCCTATATAGTTATCCAAAGAAGCTGAAAACTTATGTCCATACAAAAACCTACAATTGCCCAAAATTGGAAGCAGCCACAATATCCTTCAATAGGCGAATGGATAACAGACACTGGGACATCATACAATGGAATAATTTTTGGCCATGAAAAGAAATGAACCATCAAGCCAAAAAACATGAAGGAACTTTAAATGTGTATTGCTAAGTGAAAGAAGCCAGTCTGAAAAGACTATATATTGTGATTCCAAGTTTATGACATTTTGGAAAAGGCAAAACTATAGAGATATTTGGCAGGGATGGGTGAGCAGAAGGATGAGTAGGTGAAGTACAGGACACGTTTAGGGCAATGAAACTATTCTATATGATACTACATGTGGATACATGACATTAGACATTTGGCAAAACCCATACAACGTACAACACAGAATGAACCCTAATGTACACTATGACTTCAGTTAATGCATCAGTATGGGTTCAGTAACTGTAACAAATGCACAGTGCTAATAGGAAAACTGAGAGTGGAGGGGAGAGGTAGTGTGTGTGAACTCTCTGTACTTCCTGCTCAATTTTTCTGTAAACCCAAATCTTCTCTTAAAAAATTAAGTTTATTAATTAAGCAAAAATGATAATTGCAAAAGTTGAGCACAGATAACGAGAATAGCATGAGTTTTGACATCATACTGATCTTGATTTAAAATCTGGTTTTTAGTAACTGTGTCATACTGAACAAGTCAATTACCTCTAAAATGTGGATAACATAGAAATTAGCTACTTTATTAGATTCATCCTTTAAGATCTCTCCCTCCAAATGTGTGCACATACTGGTTATATAATCGTTTTTAATAAATGAAAGGTATGAAGGCATTGGGCTAGTCATTGATGGGAATACACAATATTTTACACATTATACACATTATTGTTATACACATTATAACAATACAAAGAGAAAGAGTTCCTGTTAAAAATGCAAAATGCACCCTAGCCGGTGTGGCTCAGTTGGTTAGAGCATCATCCCATATAGCAGTTGGTGGCGGGTTTGATTCCCAGTCAGCGCACATACCTGGGTTGCAGGTTCAATCACTGGTCGAGGCGTGTATGGGAGTCAACTGAATGATGTTTCTTTCTTTTCCTTCCTCTCTCTCTAAAATCAGTTTTTAAAAATGCAAAATGTATTCTCCTTTTCAATCTCTGCCTTGTAGGAGCCAGGGAGGTGACACATAACTTTGGGACAGTCTGGGGCCTCAGGGACTTCTAGACTAGGCCCTCACTGTCTACCCACAGCAGGGGAAATAACGTGTGAATGGAAAAGCACCTTGAGCAGCAACTTCACACACCTGTAAGAAGGAAGTGGGAGGCTGCGAAAGACAGGCTCATGGAATGGCCATTATATTGGTCTCAGATTCCAAAACATAGGTTGGATTGCTATACCTAGGTAAAACTTTTTAAATGTTCCAGATATATTTACTTAAAAAAAAACAAAAACAAAAAAACACCATAGTTTGTAATCGTGTTGTGCTCCAGGCAGAGAGGAGAGTGGGGCCATTCTAGCCCCTGGCCTTCCCTTACAGGAACCTGGTTGCCTCTTTCTGTTATTATTATTGCCAGTATAGAGAGACATTTGTTAAACAGCTAGTTGTGTGTGTTGCTGCCTTGGTAGCTCAAAGACAACTAAAATCACTGGTTCCCTGTTAGAGACTGAGCAGGACCATTTTCTCATTCTGTAAAGAAGGAAAAAATCATATAACTGGTCCCTGAGGATATGAACATGACATGGGACTAACACAATGACTCACTGCATTTCTCATGGCCAACACCAGGTTCTAGAAATGAGAAATGACTAGACCTATCCCTGTGAAAGACCAGCAAATCCAAGGAAGCTTTGGATTCTTGGATGTTATGACAGCACAGATTTATTTTCTTAGAAATACATTTTCCTAGATATTTAAGTGTAAGTCTTCTAAAATGTCCTGAATGCCCAAAAGAGGGGGTGGGGGGGTGGGGAGAGAGAGAATATGACATTTGTTCTTAATTTATAATTGTATTCTCATAAGGTTGAGAGACAATAACTGTCTAGGATTCAATTGGTGCAATGTGCCTTGCAGAATATTTTGTACTTAGTGTCAATATTTTTTCTATTAGCCATACCACTTAAGAGTCACAGTACATATTATCGTTTAGGCTGGTGTTGTTAAATCTCTATTTAGTGGATTCAGCTCATTAGTGGATCGTGAAATCAATTTAATGGGTCTTGACAAGCAACATTTAAAAAATGAAAAAAAGTATCAGAGTGAATGAATTACACATAATAAGAGTAAATACTGTTCCATGAAACTTTTGTTGCAGTCGTGTGTGTGTGTGTGTGTGTGTGTGTGTGTGTGTGTGTACGGGGTTGCAATGGCAAATGCATTTCTTACTATGGATCATGACGCAAAAAATCATTGAAAACCACTGCAGTAGGCCATGTGAGCTATTAGGTTATTTCAAAATATATTTGTCAAATCCTTCATACATACATACGTGTGTGTGTGTGTGTGTGTGTGTGTGTGTGTGTGAAATAGAGGAAGGGGGCAGGGAGAGAGAGAGAAGCATTGATTGGCTGCCTCCTCTGGCAAACTTTTGGTATATGGGACAATGCTCAGCCAACTAAGCCATACTGGCCAGG